AATTTATATATTGTTTACGTAATTTGATTATTTATTTATTTCAACTCTTTGAATATATATATATATATATATATATATATATATATATATATATATATGTGTGTGTGTGTGTGTGTGTGTGTGTGTGTGTGTGTGTGTGTGTGTGTGTGTAGGTGTGTCTGTTAAAATTTGAACCTGAGACAAACCTACCAAGTTTCACCTAAGCGATCTCCAGGAAGCCTCCCTGACAATCTGCTTAGGGTGAAACCTTGGTAGGTTTGTCTGGCTTTCAGGTTTAACTAGGTCTGCTCTAATTACTGTATTGAGCACTTTATTTAGTCATTTTGCCTACTCGTATCAGGTTTTTTTTTTCCTTTAGGCTTTGGACTTGCATGCTGGACGATTATTTTCGGCTGACGTACATGTTTTTGGCTCTTTCTTATTTTACCTTTTTTTTCCCTTTGGTGTCGGTTTGATTATTTGCATATCAACACACCGACGGTTTTCCAGACAGTATAATTTCTTATGCTTATAACATTATTACTACTAATATATATATATATATATATATATATATATATATATATATATATATATATATCCTTGTGCAAATTACCAATTTAGTTTCCTTTATTTCACTATACGGTCAGTTTCATACCTACTGGCATGAGAGGGTGTAATCGAGTTCTATTTTTCCGTTAGATTAGGTCATTTGCAGTGATGTGCAGTAATATGAATCTATTTTGTATGATGCATGATGAAATTTGTATGGCGTGTATGATGAAATTTGTTTGTCCTTTGGGGAATGGACATACGAATTACGAATATATGCACTGGGTCATGTTTCAATGGAAAAATACGAAGTGTATATATATATATAACTTTAAAAATAGATGTAACCTTTGCCTCGAAGAAAAAATTAAAATAATTAAATACGAAACTATAGATCAATTATTAAATCAAAGAAATGAAATTATATTTAAATGTCGCCATAGAAATAGATTTAAACTATCCTAAAAATAGTATTTATTCTTTATAATTATATTTATCTTAGAGTATGGCTTTTTCGGTTGTTGCTTGGCGGTTTGAAAATAATATGTATTATGTGTTATATATTATTAATATATTAATGCGATATATATGTGTATGTGTATGTTTATTTGATAGTATCAACATTTTTTTCGATATTCAGATGTCCGTTTTTCAAAGTAAAATATTTTCGAACTTTTGCCGCACATAATATATATATATATATATATATATATATATATATATATATATATATTTTTTTCTTTAAATCACCTATTTTTATGGCATTTGACAAAAGAGATGTTTGGAAGAATTTCGCTAAAATCTCACCCCCGCCTGCATCAAACAAGATATCCTCCTCTCTCTTCCTGTCTTCATTTTACCCCTTCCTGTCATTTACTGCCCCCGATACCACAAAATTTTCTTTTCTTTCCTTCTTGTCTCTCTTTCTCTTTTTAAATCAAGTTATTTCTTGTGCTTGGTGAATTTAAACCAGTCTAAAGATGCAGTGTAAAACAACTGCCGAAATAAATTTAAGTTTATAGCTGCGATATTCAAATAGAAAGTTTATCTTTGAAATTTTTACTTTATTATACTGCTCTGTATGAATTTTTTATTATGCTCATACATTGAGCTCTCTACTAGGAGTTTTGCCTGGATATTCATTTCTTAAGAGTTTCTCGGGATTATCGACTTAATCAAAGGATTATATATATAGTCAGCGACAAAATTATTTGTACACCCATCAATTTTGAATATTTTTATCCATTTCTCAGAATCTAATGCCCGTATGATGCCAAGTTTTATTATATGTTAATAAGCACAAAAAGGGAAAATAAAACTTTCAGAACAATATTTTAATAATTTCGAAAAATATTCAAAATTGATGGGTGTACGAATAATTTCGTCGTTGACTGTATATATATATATATATATATATATATATATGAAAATACAAAAAAATAGGAAACGTTTATCAATCTACTATTTTTTTCTTTTTTCTTAAAGCTTCACGGGATATGTAGATATGGAGAAAAAGACGAAAGAAATTGTTTTTTCTACTTTTGCGTTTTTCGATTTCCATTGTCTAAACATGTATCGCTTGAATTTGACTTGTTAAAGCAACGTCAGTATAAATTGTGGCGCTACGAATTCAAGGATAGACGACGCGTCAACTCCAAGTTTCAATATATTTATTTTATCAGAGAAGAAGATGAAGCTTTAAGAAAAGTGAAAAATGTTGGATTGATAAACGTTTCCTATTTGGTCTTTATTACTTTATATATATATATATATATATATATATATATATATATATATATATATATATATATATTCGAAAATTACAACAAAATATGTTATAAAATCACTAATAAATAGCCATATTGTTTCAGCAATTCCGGTGTCTTATCAAGTGATGGTGTTGAATGCAGAAAGATTCTACATTCAACACCATCACTTGATAAGACACGAGAAGTGTTGAAACAAAATGGCTATTTTTGTAGTGACTTTATGACATATTTATGTTATAATTTTCAAATAAATGATATTTACCCTACTCTGTATTGAGCACTCTTTTAAGAATAGTTTTTTTAGTTATTGGAATTTATTCCGTATACACCAATCCCATACTTGGTTATATATATATATATATATATATATATATATACAGACATATATATATAGAGTGAGAGAGAGGGAGAGAGAGAGAGAGGGATAGAAATAAAGAATGATGTAGCTATATAATTTTATGTATTTTTGTCACCGCGTGCGTGCATATATCTATCTATCTATCTATCTATCTATATATATATATATATATATATATATATATATATATATATATATATATATATATATTTAGTTCCATGAAATACGACTGAAAAGGTATTTCGTTTAAGTTTTATATTTAATTTTTCTTGTGTTATTATAATTTTCTTCTTTTCGGTATGTCCAAGCGATTATCAGGGATGATTTTATTTTCACTTTTACCTGAATGTATGGGTTGTTTTATGTATGTATTTATAGTCTTAAGGATGTTTTATTTTCAAAACACGGTCAGCACGTCGTGTTCATAGATGATATTATTGTATGTTGGCTTTTACGTTTTTTTTTTTTAAATAATTCTATTATTTTTAGCCTTTTTAACATGTAGATGAGGCTATTATTTCTCTATTATCAACAAATTTAGGATGGAGTTTGGTAATTTTTCCTATGTAAAAATAAAACCAACATTGAAAATGGCTAAAAGTATAGTCCAAATTTTCGGATAAGGTGCTGAATATTGTGTTCGAAGTTGTCTATAAACTCACCGACGTTCATATTTTTATTATTTTTGTTCAAGTACATTCGACTTTCGCAGCCATTATCAAGAACTAGTGCGGTTTCTGTGTGGTAATTAGAATTCTTTTGTCTTTATCTTGGTATTCTTTGGAAAGTTGGATGTTTGCAATGGTCAAGCGTGATATCATGAGTAATGGCGATTGGAAACGAGGCCGCACAAAAAATGCGATTTATTTAATTATTAATTTGATTTAAATTTTCATTTTTTTAAATCATTATAACACTGATAAAATATGTGCACATATTATATCATACGAACTTCAAGATACCTTCTCTTGTGGTTATGATATATTATTTGATGTGGGCTGTTTATTTTGTATAATCAATGGTTTGCAGAGTTTTGAGTCTTTCCTTGCATGGAGTAGTGTAGGGTATTTTGTTGTTATCCACAAGTATTTGTTTAAATGTTGATAGTAGTACTAGTTGATGTGTGAGTGGATTGCATATAAACAGTTTATCCAAAACTTCAAGCACAATACTGAACACATCCGAAAATTGGAAAAATACAATAAAAGTTAAACAGGCAGACTTTGTCGAGTCTTTTTAATCAAACTTGTTAATATATATATATATATATATATATATATATATATATATATATATATATATATATAATAGTGACGCCATAGGGTTGCTGGCACCCCGGACAAACTGAACTGCGACGCCCTTACAAGTATAATTTTAAAAGGTTTTTATTAGGAGAAGAATTGAAACTATAGAATAAGAAGTTTATTACAACATACAGCTTAATACAAACCGAAGAAAACATTCATTATCCTAACGAAAACATTTTTCTAGCCTTTAGATTTGAGAATATTTTTATGAGGCTTTTTACGTCTATCTTTTTGCAAGATCCCATTCTATTGAATTTAAACGTTTTCAGTCATATAAGCTTTAGTTTTGTAAGATCCCTTAAAAAAATGATATGGCAGCATGATGGCATCCCTCGGCCTTTATGGCGCCTCGGGCGACTGTCGAGTTGCCATTTCCATGAACTCTATGCATATATATATATATATATATATATATATATATATATATATATATATATATATATAGTTTATGCAAACTTAGGTAATCCGTATGGGTAGACCCGAGGAGGATGATATCCAGAGAGCTCAATGTAAAATTCAGAGCAGATATGTTTGAATAAAAAACAGACCACGTTAAGATTCCATGTAATAAGTTAATGTAATAAGTTATAACTTATTACATGGAATCTCAACGTGTTCTGTTTTTTATTAATATATATATATATATATATATATATATATATATGTGTGTGTGTGTGTTTGTGTATGTATGTATGCATATGAACCAGATTTTATCTTTTTTAACTATTAAACCCCTGTATTTCTTAACCATCCATTGTTTGTAACACACACACACACACACACACACACACACACACACACACACACACACATATATATATATATATATATATATATATATATATATATATATATATGTGTGCTCATCTACGCATGCATACTTGCATGATAGAACGTGTTGGTTTGTGGTGACACATGTAGAGAGTAAGGAGCCTAAGCTCAAATGAGAGCAAAGATGATCAAAATGAGGAAACATGCAAATCTTGGTACGCGTTGAAGTATAAGCGGTAAAACCGGGGCCAGGTGCATGCATACCAAACAAATGACATGCTTTTAAAATGCGTTGTCAGCGAACGAAAGTAGGGCCGAGGGAAAGAACAAGAAAGAAGATAAGTGCTCAGCGAATCAACGCACTACAAGTCTCAGCGAAAATATATCAAACATTAATCGGTGGCCCCAAGGGTCGTACGAGACTCCGTGCAGTGGACCCGAGGTCGGACCTGTCTTCTGATCGCTGCAATCAAAGAATGACCATGTTTTCGCAGCAATGCCTGCCGCGGGCCCGAAATCGTTTCCAGTCTTTGTTGTGGCTTGATATTCGTCCATATTGTCCAGAGATCCGGCTGATCCCCCTTCGACACAGATTGTAGCCGGCTTCCGGCACGGAAGTTCGCAGTGGATGATGGGAGAGGAAAGGATACCCCAATTTCCATTTTATTTTCACTGTAGTGATGCCCTGACTCCTCTTGACAAGTAGGTTGAGACGATTGGAAAGGATTATAATCGTCGGGTTCAAATAAGTGCATTCCTGAAGTGGTTAAAGGATCAAGAAGGTGTATATATATGTACCGACGTGGCATTGTGTTCGAACACTTCCATATACATATTATTTTATAGATATCTTTGCAAATACGCGTATTAAATGTGTTGGTACAAAGGTATAAAGATTCAGTTGTTGGCTATAAATGCATAGATTTCTATAGAAAATGCATATATGCATCCATATATATATATATATATACATTATAAATGCACAATTCTGCTATAGATGATGCTTAACTAATGGAAAAGGGGATGCAAGTTAGATTCCTATCAGAGGCACTGGTCTTCCTTGAGTAGAACTTCACTATTTAAACAAAAACAAAACAAAACGAAACAAAAAAAAAAACAGAGATAATAATTCAAATACTTAATAAGAAATAATATATATATATATATATATATATATATATATATATATACATATAAATAACTATCTATAAATAGTATCTAGTATCTATCTATCTATCTATCTATATATATATATATATATATATATATATAGTAAAAGTAATAAATCCGTTGGTATATAATCCAAGTGAGTCCTAGCAATATAAAATAGTAAAACTGATCGACAAAAGAATTCAATATAATTTAATATTACAGAGCAAATAATTAATAAACAATAAACTCCCATATCACCTCATGTTGGGAATAGCTTATTTCGGCAGACGAAAATATCAGTTGTCTGCCTTATCAACCCCGATGTGGACTGAGTTTGTGTCAGAAATAGAAATATAACTGTGAAGGCCCCCTCTCTTTCTCTGTCTCTCTATCTCTCTCTCTCTCTCTCTCTATATATATATATATATATATATATATATATATATATATATATATGTGTGTGTGTGTGTGTGTGTGTGTGATTGTGTGTGTATGTGTATATATGAATTACATAAAATATAAGTCAATTGTACCCCATTTTTATGGCCATTTTTATGCTCTAATAAATATATTGAGCTCACTTTTGTGGATGACTTTCAATATTTTATATTCATAGGATTCACTCGTATTACTTACTCACAGATTCGTACCTATACACACGCAAGCACACACACACACACTTTAGCATGAAATAGCCTGTCGCCTCTGACTGTTGACTTCAATGTTTATTTTTATATTTACATACGCTCTATCTCTGATATTAGCACTTTATCCCATAAATATAGCACACTTTATAACTATATTTCTTCATATATATATATATATATATACATATATACATGATTTCTTATTAATATGTATATATATTTACATACACATATATACATATAAATATAAATATATATACAAGTAACTCCCTATTATATGTATGATAGACTTTTCATCTAGCTATTTTATGACGGAGAGTATATCATATAAAAATAGAGTTACTTTTCAATATATACATCCATATATATATATATATATATATATATATATATATAAATATATTCACCTAAACAGATCATCATAGGCAAAGAGAAACACATATAATAGCTAAATCATACCACCCAATTAGGTTTTTGTTTTTGTTTTTTTTTTTTTATTTTGTCACGTGGTATATTTTAGCTATCACCTATAAATATGTTCTCTTTGCCCTAAACTTTCCTGATGATCCGTTTTAGGTGAAAACCTGTAGGTTTGTCTGGCTCAATAGGTGTATCTAGGTTCGTTTCACGGTTTATTGAGCTCTTTTGTTACATCGGGTTTTTCTTTGGGCTTCAGACCTGCATCTGTGCGATTTTTTTGTCGGCAGAAGTCCATGTTTGTAGCTCTTTTTTTTTTTAAACCTTTTTTTTCCTCGAGATTGATTTGATTAGCAAATCGAAAATTCGAGGTTTTTCGAAACGAGTCTAGTTATCTCTCTCTCTCTCTCTCTCTCTATATATATATATATATATATATATATTCATACGTTTTTTTATAGATATGATTTTTTCAAGTAAATGCTCTGCTTTTTAATTAAACAGTATTTCGTGCATTTACCTGTCTGAATGTTCGAGAAATTTTGTAAAAAATATGCGGTCTCTGACAGGAATCTAACCTGCAACCTCATATATCTTGAAGTGCTATTATCATTCGTCACAGAGAAGCGTCTGTTTAATAAATCCTAATTACTGTTTATAAATATATATATATATAATAACTAACGCATAAATATATTAAAAAAGTGTCGGATTTATTTATTTAATAATGAACCTGAAGATTCCGTTGTACATGAAATTCCAAGTCGTGCTACCGATGAGGAATAATATGTATATTTATTAATAAAGAGATATTCTTATTAAAATTTCATTGATGCAACGGTCAGTCTCTTCTCAGCACTTGATAAAATAGAAAATATTAATGGCATTAATATTAAAATGTCTGACAATAGAACTCTTAATTCAATGTGATTTTCCATATATTTTTATTTGACTTCTTACACAGAATAAAAGTTATTGATAAATATGGTTAAAAATATTGCATTGTGGGTATTTTCAACTGCTTAGAAGGTTGGTTCACTGTGTCGTGCGAGACACTTTTTCACTCCAGAATCTATTTTACATAGTTTGCTATTCGTCCAGTCTTTGAATATGGCTGCCACATTTGGCTTGGTACCCCTGCTATTTAACTTAGCTTTTGATAAGATCCAAAGAAGAATCAGCAATATTATTGATCCTGATATAGCGGCCCGGCTTCAGTCGTTTTCCCACTTAAGGTTGCTTTTTGTATCATTTCTATAAAGACTTTCATGGTAATTGTTCGGATGAGCGCTTCGGTACCTCCTTGAGGAGAGTTCTTTTTCCCGACGTTGTACGACCGGCGCCAGACGTCAGACGCATTTGCGAGCGTTTATCTGTTTTTTAATTTCAACTTTTGTTCACGTTAAGTTCTTTTATTTTAATTTTAAGTTCCATTTATTGACTTTTTTTTGCCAAAAAGTTTGATTTGATTTTTTTTTTCTTTCCCTCCCCTCTTACCTTTTTAATTTATCCCTTGTTGTTTTTTTATTAATTTTCATTTCTTTAATACGTGTTTTTGAGTTTTAATTTTTCCTTTTAATTTTCAGTAATTTCCCTTCGCCAAACTTTTTTTTTTTTTTGTTTATTTTGCCCCTCGTAAGACTTCGTTTTTCTTTGTTTACATTTTATTTCTACGTGTTTTTTATTGTTTCTTTTGTTGTTCTTGTTGTTAAATAACTGTTATATATTCTGTGTTCCTTTATTTTAAGTTTTCCTGTGTTTATTGTAATTTTTTGTATTTATTTTCCGCTTTTATTTTTTATTATTCGTTAGTTCTTCTTTTATTTTAGTTTACGTGTTTTCGTTCGTGTTCGTCGGCTGACTAGTTTTTCTAGTGGCAGCCATATTGTATTTGTGAACTCGTTTGGCATTTTTTGTTTCGTATTTTTTTTTTGTTAAAAAAAAAGATACCTTTTTGTTTATTTTCCGTTTTAAAATGTGATTTTCATTTTATTCTTTTTGTTTTTGTAATTTGTAATTGTTAGCTGTTTTTATTTTTGAACGTATTTTGTCGTTTTAGCGTACGTGTTTCTGTTACTTTTTGCGTCTTTAACTGTTCTGTCTTGTTAAAATTAAATTTGTTATTGTGATTTATTTATCTTTCGTTTAATTTATACTTTTATTTGTTGCTTTTATGTGAAGGAAAAAAAAAAAAGAAAAAAAAAGTCTTGTTTATTTTTAAAAAATGGTTCCCAGGAGAACTGTGAAAAGAACCTGTTTGGTTCCAAAAAGAAAAAAGGGCCCTCCTGATAAAAATTTAGAAGAAAGCCCTTTAGTTGAAAAAAAAATGTATGGTCCTCTAATTGTGAGGATAATGATAAGAGTCCGGAAAAAGTATGGTGGCCTAAATGAGTCCCTAATTGTGATAATAATAAGAGTCCAGAAAAAAGTATGGCCTCAAATGGCCAAAATAGTGGCATTGTTTCTAGTGTCCCAGACCAGGTTATGGTGGCCGAAAGCGGCCAAAATGCTGAAAAAATCAACATGACAAGAATATGGTGGCCGAAAGCAGCCAAGAAGCAAATAGTCAGACATCTCAAGACGGAAACACAGCGGCCGGAGCCCATGCTGGAAGTCCCCGCCGAACCAAAAATCAACATTACGGAGTTCCTCGAGAGGCCAAGAGCTACGCACATCTGGTGACAGCAGATGGGTTTTAATTAAACCCCGAGGAATTAAAGAAGGTTGAAAAAGAATTAGGTTGTCTTTGTGGTCGACAGGCGTTCGCGCAAGATTTGTCGATCCACAAAAGACACTGTTATTAAAACCTTAAATTCTCTGGGAATTAAACCTCAGAGGGTCTGAAAGGGGGATATTTTTATGGGACGTACTGTTACCCACGCCTGCCGATGTGAAGATGCTGCTCTCGCGATCTTATCACCAAAGACCTGATTCTGAGAACCGAGTACGAAGGCGGAGGACCAGGTTTCAGTATATGAGGTTCCTCCTCAGATTGTCGGCGAGCACTTGGCTGCTTATCTGGGCCAGTTTGGCCAGATACTACCTGACCGGGGGTGGAGCTCGAGATCATGATCAATCAAGATGCCTTCCGTTCCATCCCAACTGTCTGGATGTAAAGGGCCAGAAGATGCCGATAATCGTGATAGGTCGTAAACTGGCATGCTGGAAGAAACCTTTCCTCTTCCTGCACAGAGATGAAGGCCTCTGTAGTTCTGGCCCCGCCCAACCAAATCCCCTTTGGCCGAGTCTGTTTCATCCGTCCCGCCTGTAGTGGGCATGCCAGCGACCAGGACCGGTGGAAAAATCCCTGTTGGGTCCAAATCTAAGCCCCCATTCCCCGATGAGCCTTTGCCCGACGCTAGTGCGGTTAGGGGAGAAGGAGAGGGGGAATGCAGGTCGTTGGCAAGACTAAAGGAAGATCCGGGCAAACCTCGTTCCACAACAAAAAACAGGAAAGGCACAGACAGCCCCCCCTCTACCAGTGCAAAGGGCGACTCTTCGGCCAGCTACTCGGATAAACTCCGAGAAAAATTAATCCAATACGAACCATCCTACGAGAAGAAGGAAAAACTTATAAAATTAAAGGAAGATCTTAAAGCCAAACGACAGGACGCGGAGAGGAAATCTGGCACCTCATTGTCGGCACCATCTTCCCCTGGCACTAAACATCATTCCATGGTCCCTCCCCCATCCACTAAACCTATTAGGAAGTAGATTCATCAATGACCGCACTAAAAAGGACCTGGCAAAAAAAAACATCACCTAAACATTCTCCCATGAAGACCCCCAAAACCTCACCATCAAAACACGAACAGCAAAAAGCGCCAAAGAAGTCCATCTTCGGATGCTTCAAACCACTACAGAAAAGAAAATCAAATCTAGACCATTATACAATACAGGGAAGATGTGTGCCGAATTTCAAAAGGAGACAGAAGAGAAGGCATTAATTAAGATTTAAAACTCTTTTAAATTTCCGGAAATTGAACAATTTAGATGTGGAGAACCCCGGGAATTTCCCCAACGCAAGAAGGGTTCTCTGTGTGGTGAGATCGGGGTTGCTGGTCAAAATATGGGCCATGATGGCCAATTTGAAACCTTCACCATGTTTCCCACCGATGTCGTGTTTTGACGACGAAATGTCAAAAATTCATAATAAATTTGTTCAGGGAGGTTCCTGATTTTCGTTCACCCCTCCCTGTATAGAGCTTTTTAAAGCTAACGTTCCCCTTGGACATTGGCGGCCTGTCTCCTGATGGCACCATCGTTAGTGAGATGGGTTCAATGGGAGAGGCCGTCGGTGTCCTGACCCCGGCCATGTTCAGTGCAGGAGAAACCCCTAATCGGTTCCATCATGGTCTCTGGTTAGCAAGTGTGAATGCCCGAGGCCTGAGGTCCGAGTCTCGCAGGGTGAGGCTCTTTCTTCAGCGTCTCGGGGTGAATATTCTGTTGTGTACAAGAGACCTGTTTTTCTCTCGTGACTATGAGAACATTCTGTCTAGGGGTTTTCCTCTATTCAGCATGTTTTGATGGACGCTTTGGTGAGCAAGTCATTGAATGCTGTGTGTTCTTGTTCTCGCGGATCCGGCGGGCAGGCTTTGCGTGCTGGACGTTACCATAAAGGATAAGGCTCTGCGTCTCATTGGGGTTTATGCGCCCAATGTCCATTCTGAGCGGCCTGTTTTGTTTCGGCAGATCGAGCCGTTTTGACGACATCACGTCGGGTAGTTTTAGTGGGTGATTGAATGTTGTCCTTGATCCCGATATAGATCGCATAGGGACAAATTCGGGTACTAACATCCGGGACGTGAAACATTTCGGGACTTTTTATCGACAAGTTTGATCTTGTCGATAAGTACCGGAATGAACACCCTCGGGAGGTAGTGTGGACTTGACAAATAGTGGCGGGTCGGCTAGTTATCTAGACCGAGTCTTAATTAGAGAGTCGATGGGGCTCTTAGGGTGTCCAAGTTTCCATGAGATAGTTTATACGGATTGAGGCTTGTCCGGGTCCGTGTAAACTTAGATAAACCTAAAAGGTTAGGATGGCTGGCTACTTTAAACTCATCATTATTTGGTGAGCAAGATTTCCGGGACCAGCTTTACTAATGATACAGAGGAACTGACGGGAGCGGTTGTGGGGGAATGCCTGGTGGGATAAACTAAAATCCAAAATCAGAACGTTTGCTGCTGATTATAGTCGTCGGCTCAATCTAGATAGATTAGCGGCGCAAACGGCTTTAGAGCAGAAAGTTGATCGGGCGGTGAAACGTGATAAAATGGCCTTAGCTAAGGCAGAGTTGGCCTCCTTGCTTATCAAGAAGGATCAAGCTCTGGTAGTTAGGGCTAGGTTAAAAAGAATGTCCTCTGAGGCGACGAATATGGCCGCAGAATTGCGTGCAGAGGAAGCTCTCATGCATCTCAGCGACATATCGCATGCGTCACATTGCCGGATAAGCGGATTACAACAAACGAGGGCATATGTGAGGCTTTCGTGACTACTTTCAGGAGCTTTTCACCAGGGAGCCCGGTCTGAGCTCTGCTCAGTTCGACTCTATTTGGCTGACTTTCCCTGCCTTAGGTGCAGCTGAAACAGTTAGGTGCGATGGTCCAATTACAGAGTCGGAAATCTGGGATGCGTTGAAACAGGTTGGCCTGGACAAATCTCCGGGACTTGATGGTCTTCCGTACGAAGTGTACTTAGTCGCCCGTTTTTGTTCCGCTGCTGGCACTGATTTTTCGGCAACTGGATGAAGCAGGGTCTATACCCCAACGCTTCACCAGGGGCGTGACTGCTGTTACGCAAGAATAAAACGGTGGGGATGGGTTAGGTTACTTTCGCCCTTTAACTATGTTAAACACAGAGTTAAAGATTTTGGCTAAGATCCTGGCTAACCGTTTGCAGGCTGTCCTGTCTCGTCTGATTGGCCCCTGAACAGACTTGTGCTGTGAAGGGCAGGACTATTCAGGACAACCTTCATATGGTGCGCCTGATCATCGAGCAAGTCGACAGTGAAGCCGCGCTGATCAATTTAGATCAGTCCAAGGCCTTCGATAGGGTTGACCATCATTTTCTGAGGCTGTTCTTTCGGCGGCCGGTTTCGGGCCGTACTTTCGCACCTGGATCCGACTTCTGTTCCGGTGCGCTGGTGGAGGTGAATGGGTACGATCGAGCCTTTCGTATTGTCTCGCCCATTCGTCAGGGTTGTCCGCTATCGCCTTTGCTTTACGTTCTTGCGTTGGAACCTTTCCTTCGCAAGTTAAAGGCGAATCCGGTCCTCCGCGGGATTGCCCTGCCCGGTGGTCGCACATCGGCCAGGGTATTCCGCCTATGCTGACGACGTTTGGCTCTGTGTCGAGCAGAGCCGAGATTGACGAAGTCAGCAAAGAAATCAGTTGTTATGAGATGGCACAGGGGGCCAAGATCAACCGCGATAAGTCTGTTGGCTTGCGGTTTGCGGGAAGGAGTTTCTCTTCCCGGACCTTTCCACTGGACGGATGGGCCGGTCAAGATTCTCGGAATCTTTTTCGGTCCTGATCTCCAGTTGGAGATGAATTGGTCGGAGGTGCGAGGGAAGGCCGAGATCGCATTAAATTGTGGTCTCGGAGGAATCTTTCTTAAAGGGGAGGGCGGAAGTTTGTGTTTCACACATCTACCCGATTCTCCTTTACCGACTCTCTGTGCTTCCACTTCCGTGTGACACTTTACTGGCGTTAGTGAGGCTCTTGTTCTCCTTCTTGTGGGGAGGCAAGGCTGCCAGAGTCAGTCGGGGAGATCTGTTGCCTTCATCCATCTGAAGGCGGTCTGGGCATGCCAAGCATTGAGATTCGTCAACATATTTCGCATTAGTTTTCTGGATCAGATGTGTCGCGATTCGGATGAGGACGGCGCCTTCTGGAAGGAAGACGCCCGTAAGAACTTCCCATCCCTGAGAAGTGTGCATCTGAGCGAGGAGGAGGCCCGCCGTTTACCCCGAGCCGAATGCTCCTTCTATCGTGAATGTCGTATTGTTCTGAAAGCGCCTCTTTATTTCGGATGGCCTCCAACGTCCAGGCGTTGTCGCGTAGGGCATTATATCAAGTTTTTAGTCAGGGGCCGTGCATGATAATTTGATTGACGAGCTCGGTTTGACGAAGCAGGAGGCTCGCTCAATATGGCCTTGGGCCCGGGCTGAAATGCCTCAATAACGATGCGGGCATCACTCACCTGGCTGGTGATACGTGGGGCCCTCTGGGTCGCCAAGAGACTGGCTGGCTTGGAGAATTCTCCAAACTGCCGACGTTGTAG